TCTACTTCTGTGTTTACACTTGACAACCAACAAACTGGAAAATTCGGTTTCACAAAGATATGTTGTTGGAAATGGAAGAAGAAGGCACAACACATTCTCAGACAGAACAGGATATGACTGCAAACACGTGGTCCAGAATTTTGTAACTGGTATTATAGAGAAATCAGTTCCCACCGCATCGCTGTTAATGAGTTCAATGAATTCCTCTCGTGATGTTTCAGGAACATCCTCAACTTTGCCTGTGAATGGGCTTTTGGCAAGTACAAATGGGGTGTCAGGTAATTTTGGAAAGTTCGATGGCATTTCATCTGCAAGCATGTGCAGGTGTTCTTTCACAGAAATGATCATCATAATCCTTTTGTCTGGTTCAGTGTCATGTTCTTCAAAGAAAGTACACAAGTAGGCAACGTGTAAATTTTATTTTCATGCAATTTTTTTTTTGCCAAAGCTGAAGTTTCATTTGGATTGATCAGATGTTTTCAGACAAATGGAGGTATGTTACATTTGGTCCTTGCATTAATAAATTTAACTCCTTCAAGATGGCAAAGATGTCAACCAAGTAAGCTATTTTCTGCAGTTCACTTTTATCGCTGAAAAGTGCTTTGAACTGTGGTCTTGCTTTCTGATTAAAACACATTTTGAGTTCATCACGAAGCTCAAAAACACGTTTTAAAGCGTTTCCTCTTGACTTCTGTGTGAAATAGCAGAACATTATTCAGTGCAACTAAACTCGCTGCACAGTTACAGAAACAGTCAACTGTTTAAAGTGCTCACCTTTACAAAATTGACTGAACTTATGACGCTTTTCATTACTTCTTGTAACTCTTGTGGCAGTGTCTTCATTGCTAATATTTGCCCATGAATCATACAGTGAGTTCCGTTGACTTTTGGTGACTCATTCAGTACCAAATGTTGAAATTCAGATCAACATCCTAGCATAGCTGGAGTACCATCTGTGCAAATAACACACACCTTTTCCTAAGAGATCTTATTCTCTTTCAAAAATGAACCAAGTGTGTCAAATACATCATGTGCAGTAGTTGTCATTTCAATAGGTTTGTAAAAAAGAAACTCATCTTTAAAGTCGCCATCATTAATAGACCTCATGTAAACCAGTAACTGTGAACAGTTGGCAATGTCTGTAGATTCATCAAGCTGGATGCTAAATATTAGAAGTGGAGCAGATTTAATTTCCTGGATTACCTGATTAAGAATATCAGAAGACACGTCATCTATTCTTCTGCTGAAAGTGCTGTTAGATAAGGAAATTGCACTTAATTTTGTAACAAAGTAGTCTCTGATCATAACTCGAACAATGTTTGGCCGCTGGTAACAGTAAATCCTCAGAAGTGCTGTGAGGTTTCATAGCTCTGCCGATTCTGAGTGCCACTGATAGGAAGCTTCGACAGCTGCTACCTTTTGGTTGTGGTACTTGCCACCAGTGTCAAGTCTGGCTTTCTTGAGTCCATCCACTTTGCTTCTAAAATAGTTGGCATCCTTGCCGGCAAAGCTCGGATTCTTGCTATCAAAATGGCGTTTTAGTTTGTTCTGCTTTATAGATTCAGCTTATAGAACTTCACAACAAATAACACATTGAGGTTTCTCAATTCCTGCTGTAATTATTGAGGTAAAATCATACTGTAAAAAATCCTCAGTATATTTTCTTTCCTTAATGTTCTCTATATGATCCATTGTCATGGGATAGTTTGCTAATGCAAATAACGTAACAATAGCTTTAATAATACAATAGATGAAATAATACAAAAGATGATATATGGCATAGTTCAGTCAATACAGTTCATTAAATTTCCTATGATTTACCATTCTCTGTTGTTTTTACGTATCTGTTACTGTCACAAGGGGGCAGTATTCACATCACTGTGCACCCCGCCTCATTCACAATGATATGATTTTTTGTTCTTTGATGCCTGATACCTGATGCTATTGACACCTCATGATCACAGAGGCTGGCGTGCTTCTGGAAGGAGACTGAGTAACAGCCTGCAATACACACATGACACAACCTCGCTTGCTGAAACGGAGGAGGACCAGAAGCACTTGCTGCTGATGAATAAGGAGTACAGCTTTCAGTATGGATTATAACTGAATGTAAAGACAACCCAAATCCTCACAACTGGACCTATAGGTGACATCAGGAGAAATGGAGAAAATATTGATGTTGTCAAGGATTTTATCTTGCTTGGATCCACAATCAATACTTTCAGAAGCAACAGTCAAGGGATCAATTGACCTGGAGTACTGGGTAAATCTGCTGTACAAGACCTCTCTGGAGTGGTGAAAAGCACGGGGTTTACTTTGAGAACTAAGGGCTTCCTGACACAAGCCATTGTATTTTTAGTTGCCTCAGAAGCATGTGAAAGTTGGACATTGAATAAAGAATACTGAGAAGAATTGATGAGTTTGAATTGTGGTGCTGGTGAAAAATACTGAAAGTACCATGGACTGCTTAAAGGATGAATAAGTCTGTCTTGGAAGAAGTGGCCAAGACAGATTTATTTGTCTTTTTAGTAACCCAGGTACTTTCAGTAGTCTTCTCCGGCACCACATTTCAGAAGCATCCGTTCTTCTTCATCTTCCTTATTCCGTCCCCAACTTTCACATGCATATGAGGCAATTGAAGTTACCATGGCTTGGGCCAAACACACCTTAGTCCTCAAAGTAACATCCTGGCTTTCCAATACTCTAAAGAGGTGTTGTGCAGCAACCCTTAGCTTACTTTGATATGCAGTTATTAATAATTATTCTGAACTGTTGGTGAAAAATTTTAAACTCATAAAAATGGTCAGGCACTCAAAATATCTATTAGGTAGTTTTCTAATTACAATATTTGAGTAGCAATGTATTGAAATTTATGATACTTTGAGAGCCTGTGCTTCATGTAAAGTGGTTGACCATCTTACAGATGAGGATTGGCTAATGTGTTTCCTAGGTGCAGTCAATTCATATGTTGTGTTTTTCTCTCTCTCCAGTTATAGGCTTTGCTTCAGAAGACGATTTTGAGAATTACGTTAAAAATATCACTAAAGCAAAACAAATGCTGGCTGCTATTGTTTTTGACCATGAATTCAAAAGCAGTCAGGATCCCCTACCACTTAAGGTGAGAAAGATTTATGTAAAAACCTCATAATCACACTTGAAGTTCAGGCCTTTCATTACAGGAGGGAGGTATTCTCCCACTTTATGTGTCCATGGCCCCAAATCATATTGCTCGTGCGTGGAGTTTAAACACATTTAGTTTACTTCAGTGTCTGTGAAATGTACCCAATGATGATGCAGAAAACGAATTCACTACCTCACAGGCTTTATTTATATTCATACATTGAATCACAAGGAACAAATGACAACTAGAGTATCACTTATACCGCTGCTGAAGTCCACATACCTTTCCAAGGTCTCAAGGCTTCATGTGATAAAGCAGGTACAATTTCACTAGCAGGGAGTCCGACATGGAAAATACCCTCTTTTGAATTAATCACATAATTTTTTCTGTATCGAAATCCAGATAATAACTCTCAGACTGACCTACAATTAGGAAATAAGCAGACACTGAGGAAAAACTTAAAAGCCTCTAGAAAGGAAAGAGGAGGAAGATAAGGACAGTGCTTTGAAGTTGGTGTATCTTGACCAGATTTTACAAATATGTTACCTGATACTGTGGGAAATAAGCAAAATATATGCATAGCCAGATTCTGCGTTTAGGCTACACGTTTATCAATGGTAGACAAAAGTAAGGAATACATTTTGCATTTAGGTTGCGTTGACATGGTTGTCAATGGAAGGAATAAGTAAGGAAATCAGGGATAGGACTTTGGTACTTTTTCATTCTGTAGAATTCTCTTTTAATCCTTGTGCCAATGTCCCTGAGTTAAGGGCGGGGGGGGGACTATTGGTTTAGTGAGGAGAGAGGCCCAACTATGTCCAAAGAGTCTGGTCGAAAGGTTGTATGTGTAGTCTGTAATTTTATTCTTAAGACTGTGATCCTGTGAACTAGTCTCTTCTGACTACACTCACTCTTTTCTTCCCTCATTATTCTCTCTATATATACATTAGAGCTTGAAACACCCCACATTTACATTTTATTGCATTCTTCCTCTGATCTCATGAAGGATTATTTCATACAATCACAATTAGGAGAAGATAAGATTGCTGTTCCAGAGAACTTGGATGACATATACCCACACAGACTGAGTAGCACTGTATTTCATGTCAGTATGCATGGCAGCTGTCTATTTAAGGAAAAATATGTTCATAGTGAGGGACAAGGCAACAACAAGTGGTCTAAAATCGATGGCAAGGAGGGTGTAGGAGGCTTAATAGGGCTTGATCAAGGACAGTGTAATCGAGAGGAATTACTGAAACCCAAATGAAGGCTGAACATGACAGTGGGACAAGAGGAAGGTAAAAGGAAACAGAGGAAAGAACTAGGAGGCAAAGGGCATTTATAGAGGTCTAAATACAGGCATGTACATAGGTAAATAGATCTATGTACATATATTTATAGGTTTAGTATTAAGGTAGCAGATGGACATTGGGCCTCCACTCAAGTACTCCCTCAATGCTAGAACACTTTGTTCTATTAATCTGGCATTCCATGAAGCTCACCTTCCCGACACGATTGCAGAAAACAAAGTGGGTGCATAAGCAAATGTGAAGAAAGCTGATGGTGCCTGGCTATCAAAAGATATAGTGTCTGGGGTCTTAAAGGCTTGAAGACAAACAAGCGGCCATCTAGCTGAGAAGCAACCACATGGAAGCCCACAAGGAAGAAGCACACCAGCCTATGTGATCATGAGGTGTCAATGGGATCAGGTATCAGGCATCAAAGACCCAGAACAAAAAATCATATCATTGTGAATGAGGTGGAGTGCAGAGTAGAGACCCAAAGCCCATCTACAGGAAATTAGACATCCCCATACAGAAAGGTCTCTGGGAGGAGTCAGGGTGAAGTATAGCATGGAAAAAACATACAACTTTCCTCTAGTTCTTTAATGCTTCCTCACACCCACTATCATGACCCTAATTCTACCTTACAAATGTAGCTAGATCAGAGCATGTACACTGGCACAGATAAGAGCTGGAAACACAGTGAATCCAGGACAGATAAACCCCTCAGGACCAATAGTGAAAGTAGCCATACCAGCAGGGGCAGGGGAAGATGGGGGGAGAAAGGAAGAACTGATAACAATGATCTACCTATAACCCCTTCCCAGAGGGATAGACAACAGAAAAGTGAGTGAAGGGAGACGTCGGTCAGTGTAAGACATGAAAACATAATTTATAAATTATCAAGGGTTTAGGAGGGAGTGGGGAAGGAGGTGAAAAATGAGGAGCTGATACCAAGGTCTCAAGTAGAAAGAAAATGTTTTGAGAATGATGATGGTAACAAGTGTACAAATATGCTTGACACAATGGATGGATGGATGGATTGTGATAAGAGTTGTACGAGGCCCTAAGAAAATGATTTAAAAAAATGTGTGCCTTGTGTGCTTACAATACAATATACCCAAGTGTTGTTGACACTTAAATAAAGCAGATCATGACCTTGAGGGAAGACAGATTTAAGAGAAGTCGGCCTAGATATTATGTGCTCAGAGGATATGAGCTTTTACTCTCATGTCCTGATATCCAAATCCACACTGACACTTGTTAGCTTGTCTACAAAATCATATATTGTCATTGGCGCTCTATCACTTATTATTACTTATGTGTAAATATGATTTGTTTCCTATTGCCCTGTCTAGGTAAATTATTATCTGCGTTTGAGTGCTTTCAAAAGGAATACAGAAGAGTTTGATTATCAGCCCCAAACCTGGAGAACACGCTTTCTCTTTCCACCTGTTTCTCCTGGATATCCCAGAAATATGTTTGACCCTCTTGGGGGGGACCCTGGTGAGCAAACCCTTATGCATACTTATTTTAATAGCCTAGTTGTATAGTAAAAGACATCACGTATTTATACTTGTGTTTCTTCAGACTTGTGAGGGAAGCTGGTTTGTTTTTTTTAATTTACTATGGTGGTGATTTAAAATTTTTTTTTCATTTTTAGTGCCCCCAAACCCCTACAGGATTGTATATATTTGAACATTGTATTTATATAGTTGCTCATCATTTTTGGATCATCATTATTGTGTATATCATTACAATTTATGTAAATTTTCTTTGGAAATTTTGCCTCTAACAAACCCTATGAATTTACAAGTATGGACAGAGACTGATTCATTATAGCTGTATGTTATTTTGTTGGGGTGCTGACTGGTAAAACTAGGAATTGTAAGCAAAAATTTATTGCACAAAATATAATGTAGGACTTTGTTATTACCGACAATATTCAAATTACCTTGAGGAGATTATTCAACCAAAGAAACAATTTAACATAATTCTTAAAAATCTGAAACAACCTACATCTTGAAAGATGGTAAATGACTAACAGAAGTATGAAATATAACTCTATAGATCATTGTGTAGTCATTAAATATTCACCATGAAATCTAAAGAACCAAGATTCAGAACTCTATTATAAAATTGTAACTATGCAAACTACATGTGCATCAGCACACAATTAGAATAGATTAAAGCATGAAAGTAATTGTGATATTAAACTGCCAAGATTGCCTTTGGTGTTCTGTTTTGAACAATTGCTTTTCCAGTCTATAGTTCAAAAATGAATCTGATGTCTTTCCCAATTTATGTTGCTGCATTTTGAACTTACTTTAGGTATTACTTTACACGTCAGTTTGGTGACAATATTAGCAAGTTCAATAAACCTAAAAGTTTACAATTGACTAAAATGAGGATACAAAAACCCAAATGCACTGCTAAAGGAATGATGCATACTCTGATGGGACCAGGTTGACAGTGTGTGAGTGTTAGTCAAATTAAGAATATGTTCCTGGGTAAAGATCGTAAAGAAACTATTTTATGTATCCATAAAAATATTCATGACACTGTTGTCTGTTATGGCAAAGACTTAGAAACAATCATGGTAGCCGATTATGAAGACTAAATTAGATGTACACATAAACCATCTTAAAAATATATAACTAAATGAAATATATAACAAATTTTATTTGCATGAATTAAGATATATGCAAACAAAATAGCTACACATTTTGGAACACATGCAAACATGAAAGTAATCCTCTAAAGCCTTAGAATGGTTGGTGGAGAGACAAGATATATAGTACTATAAGATAATAAATAAACAAAACAGATCAAAGGGCAAGGAACAATGTATCATGAGCTAAAGCAAAAGATACACTCAGCCCTCACCATCTAAGTAAAAATTTTGCTGAAGATAATTAAAAAATAGTTGCTGCAGTACAACCCCAGGGAGCTTGCCTGAAATTCAAGCCAGATGCAGTACAGGATGGTGACACAAGGGATATCATTGTTGATGTCAGATGGATCTTGGCTGAAAGCAGAGAATACCAGAAAAAGTTTATTTGTGAGATTTTAAAAAGACCATTATGCAGCATTAGTTCACCACACTTGTGCCAATATGTTTGATTTTGGGGTGGGGGGAAGCTGCCACTTTGGCACCTTCTTTACAAATGTTATTGTTCACTTTGTAAGTTTTTCTTGTTGTTTGGCTGCAAGATGATGCCTTGGGCCCAGTGCAGTTCCGAGTTTGAAGGATATCTACAGGCCTTAACCTCATAAATTGCACTGATCTCCATCAGATCAATCTGGTCCCTCTTTATGATTTTAAATTTTGTGTTGGGAAAATCCAGGGGGACTACAAAAGCAGATACTTACACTTTATCCTGGGTGAGGGGCTATCATAAAGAAGTTTTACTTGCCAGCTGGTCACTGGTTTATTTTATTTTATATTCTCTAAAAGGAGTGGAAGGCTAAATAAAGTTGGGAATCTATGGTGTTACTGAATACTTCCTTCACCCCAAATCTCCTGACACAGAAGTCTTTACTATTGAATCCTGTCCAACTCTAAGGTGATGCGTTCTTACACTAATATGAAGACTATAGAAATAGGAAAACACTACCAATTTTCCATATGAGCTAATCATACCTTTAGTACACAAAACACACAAGCCCTTAAAATAATAATAAGAAAATTATAGATAAATAACCTTCATCAATGTAACAGTAAAAAAATCTAACCAAGTATTGGTAAATTAAATCCTGTAATATATAAAAAGAATAACATATGGAGACCAATAGGTTCTATCTCATGAGTCTTAGCACCTTTGGAAAATAAACTATGAGTAAAAACATGTCATTTTAGATGCAGAACAAACATACAAATTAACAGTAAAGATAGAAAAACAAACAAACAGGAAAAAAATAAAAAACCTCAAGTTGTGGTTTTATCTTAGAAATGCACAAGGAAAAGCTAGCTGAACAATGGATTAGAAGCCATAAAAAAAACAAAAAACCAACAACTAAGTCTCACAGTGCACAGGACAGTCTCGGAATCCTGAGGCAGATACTGAGAGAAATAGGACTTTAAGCATTTGCTTAATTGGGACTGGGAAAATCCATATAAGTTGATGAAAGGATTAAACTAGACATTTTCAAAAGTTGTTGAATGCAATTTGAAACCCTTGGGTGCTACACATGTAGAGGGATTTGCAACATCTTACCAGCTCTTCTTGGTTCTCATAGGAAATATTGGGGAACGTCTTGAAAAACTTCCCTCATGTTGCTGGCTAGGATCATGAAATAGCAACCAACGCTATCCCCCTAAAGAGCTAATGCCTTAATCTGCAGAGAGAGCAACAATAACAGAATCTCACTTCAGAGCACTCATGGAAACCAGCTGAAGAAGGGAACCTGGGAAGAGAGGAAGCTATCCCTAGGAGAGGCCCAGGATTAAGAACTAGGTCTAATTGAAGAAGAGGCAGAAACATTTGTGAAGGTCCTGTCTCTGAGATTCAGCAGCCCAATGTGAGCGTAAGCCTGAAGCATAGTACATCAGAGAATGCTCCCTTCTCTTCCTGCTAACATGACACTAAGTATCAGGTCAACATCACAGTGGAATGGAGCTGGGAGAGCTACAAGAGACAGGTTCTCTGTGGAGCAGCACAAAGTGACAGCCCAAGCCCACATAGAACAGAATAACAAACCTTTTGGTGAAGTAGCCAAACCCTAAACACTAGTGTATTAGTCTGGGTACTTTAGAGAAACAAATCCACAGAAACTCATGTGTATAAGAGAGAATTTTATATACAGGGTAAGTGCACATCAAGAAAACATCCCAACCCAGTGCTGCCCAAACCCACAAGTCCAACATTAACCCATATGCCCAACACCAATCCACAAAGTCCTCCCCCATCTCACAAAACACATGCGATGACACCGACTGCAGGAGGAAAGCTGAATCAGTGAGCGTGTAAGCATCTCAGCGCTGGCAGAGGTCTCCACACGGCTGCTCCAGCACCCAGGGCTGCATTGGGGTAGGTCCATGCGGCTTCTCCTCAGGGATGTCTTGCATGAAGTGAGCCTTGCCAGCTGAAGCAGGGAACTGGCTAAGGCAGCTGCACCCTGGTCCGACCATCATGAATCAAGAGACCTGAGAGCTAGAAAGATGAGGCTCACCGAGCCATTTATCCCTCCGCCCTTCAATGCCCCCACATGTATTTATCGGCCAGGTTGACACAATAAACTTTATATCAACTAGGTATCACTCACCGGAAGCATTGGAAGTCAACAGTATTGTGTTAAGGAGAATGTCAAACTGGATTTACAACAGATAAAGATGAACACAAATCCCTACATTGGCATAAAGGCAGGTTTCTCTCAAAGCATCTTTAAAAAGTTTACTAGATCCTCTACTCTGCCAAACCACATGCCTGTCTCTCAACAAAAGGAAGTGGTCAGTAAGACCATCCGCTGAAGAATCATTCTTTTTTGGTTGTTGCTTGATGCTGTGTCTCTAGACAACAAACAAGTGGCAATAAGGGATTTGTGAGAAGACAGAAAGTAGTAAATATGAAAAAAGAGAGAAAGTAATAAATATGTTACTTGAGGGCTTAAAAACCCTGTGTACGAGACAGACACAGACTTGATCAGAAGCATTTCCTAGTGTGTCACCACTTTTCCCTCAGAGCCCAGTGTTGGGTATAACGATTTGTATCTGTAAAAGAGGTTGGGGAAATTCCCACAAGGCGGGAGGTAAGCAGACATATTACATAATCCCTCTACAAGAAGGACATGACATATCAGACGAATCAGTTGTGGGTAATCATCCTGGAACCCTGAGGTTCAGAGGAAAGGATAGACAAGTAGATTGAATTCCAACTAGAAGAAGCAGCTTAACAAAAGTATCGAGAGAAGAGAAAGATGGGTGAGTTGTTGTATGACCTGACGTCACAATGATCTCTCCTTGCTCAGGACCAGCACAAGAGCCTACACCAGAGCCTGAGGATGAAAAACAACAACAACGAAAAAAATCATTACGTTTTAGCTGTTGTTTGTTTGCTTATTTAAAAAAAAATCATTTTCTTTGGGAACATTGTTTTTATTCTCTTGGTTTCCTCCACCCTGTCGTCCACCCCCTCTCCTGACAAGACTGGAGATGGAAACCATGTTCACACAGTCTGCCCCATACCCATTCCTCCTGAAGCCACACTTACTGGGCAAGGGCCACTATCCTCAGCTGTACCATGTCATTTCTTATTCATATCTATACAGGACTTTGGGGCCAGTAAATCTTTTCTTTATTTTTTCCCTCTTAACAGTTTCATTGAATCCTACTTCATAGACCATACAAATGAATGGTTTAAATAAGTGAAAAAGTATTTGTGCATTCATCACCTCGAACATTTTTTTAGCATCTTCTTAATTCTTGTACGCTTTATTATTAGCTCCTCAATACTCCCAACCTCCCCTGCTGTAACCCTAAGGAAATAGTAATTTAGTAACTGTCTCTG